GGTCGCTTTGAAGATTGTTTGCTTCACCTCTTCTATCCTGGGCATCAATCATACCATCCCAGTCTGTCTCATATCCAGCATGGTAATGGCTCCAGACTTGCAAGGTGAGACCCAGTTTCCCAGTAGTGGAGCCTCTTGAGGATCATGAGCTCCAGTTCAGCTAACTTCTGTACTCTTCACAGCCATAACAGAAAAATCATCCATTTAGCTGTTTGGGGGGCTTTTGGTGTCATGAGGACTTTCTGTAAGGCTACCTTAGCCTCCTCATATCCAAACACCCAAGGCAACCACCTCAATCTTCCATTTAACCTTGAGTGCTCATGTGGGCTACTTTTTCATATACGCCTGTTTGAATCAAGGAACAGATCTCCTCTCCCTCATATTCCTGAATGTATCGTGTGTGTGTGTGTGTGTGTGTGTGTGTGTGTGTGTGTGTGTAGAGGGGATGGTTCTGTCGCATTCCCCAGTGGCTGGACTTTAGGAGGAGACAGGGATCATGGCCTTTTCTTGGGATACTCATCTGTGGCTGATCCTCCCTCTGGCTTCCTCTCCAGCTCTAGCCTTTCTCTCCTGAATTCTACTTTACTAGTATTGGGTAGGGGTAGGAAAAATGGATTTTCAAATATTTCTTGTCTTCTACCTGAACTGCAACTTCAGAATTTTGGAATAAAAAATTTAGCGTCCTGTTGTCTGTTTTCTTCGATTCCGCTTCCCCCTCAGGGCGGTTATTGCTTCACATCCAAGGTGTGAGTGAGGGATTATCACAGGTGTGTAAAGAAGTGGACGTGGAGAGTGCAGCATGACTTAGCTCACAGTAATCTGGTTCTCTGACACCTTTTTATAATTCTTGCTCCATCTACTCTGGTAAGTCTTCTTCCTCCACCTAAAAGTAGCTGTTGCCCAGGTTTTTTCTCTGTAGACTCTTTAGATAATTTCACCTACCTGATACCTTCAGTAATTACCTCTATGCCCTAAGTCCCAATTTTATGCTTTAATCCTGAATTGGTTCCCAGTGAATTTTTTTTGATTAATGTAAATAAAGATCAGAATTAGTTTTTATTTACCTAGGTTCTAAGTGTAAAGCACTCAAGTGCTTGCACTTGTGTTGCAGTGATTTTCCCTATTTTCTTACAAAAAATTTGACTTTTCAAAATCCTAGACTCTTAAATGAAACTGTTAACTACATTTTGGTCTTCTGCACATATTTGTGTTGAATCTGCTCATATTTCGAAGTTTGAAGGAGTTATCTACTGTAGTTCAGGAGTATATTTGCTGTCTTTCTCTCCCCACTGCCCCTAAGTCTCTTTGAACTGCTCTAGAAGTCATCCTGTCCAACATAGAGGCCATATTTCCTGATAGTGCTTTTGATAACAGAATTGCCAAGTCAAAGTTGACCCTCTGTGTTTCTAAGGGAATTCTCCTAAGGCACAGCTAATGTAGAGATTAAGAGTCTAGTCCTGGCAACCAGACAGTGTGGGTTCAAATTGTAGCTCTGTTACTAATTACTTGCTCTGTGACCTTGGACAATTTATATAACTTATCTGTTTCTTTATAGAAATGTGAGCAATAAAACTCCCTAATTAATGGAATTTTTGTGAGGATTAAGTGAATTATCTAGTGAAAGAAATGCCCCATACTTAGAAATAATAAGGAGCTATTATTATAACCAGTCATTTTTTGCTATTTTTCCATGTCTACTTATCAGTCTTGGCCTTTGTTTATTAGGCCAGACTAGCTGTTTAATTTTCTGAGTTCTTTAAAAATTCAGCTTTTTCAGATAAAGATCAGATATATCTTGTACATTTCACACACACACACAAGCACAATTAAAGAACTGATACACATTGTAATGATTTCAACAGGTATTAAAGCAATAGGTATGAAAATATTTGTGCTTGGCCTAGAGTAGGGTCAGCAAGAGAGGAGACTGGAGTGTAACATTCAAAGGAAGGAAGCAGGATTTGATGGCCTATTGATACACAGAGGCATCACACCTCACTCTAAGGGACCAGCCTTGGGTGACTGGGGAAGTTAGGAGTGCTATATTTATCTATTACTATGTAAAAATGACCCCAAAATGTACTGGCTTAAAACAATAGCCATTTATTTTCTATCTTTGTTCCTGTGGATCATGAATTCAGACAGGGCACAGGAAGGGATGGCTGGTCTCTGCTCCATGATGTCTAGGGTCTCAGCTGGGAAGCTTGGAGTCTGAGGACTGGAATCATTAGACAGACTTCTTTTTTTTTTTTTTTTCCCAAGGTCTTTTTCAATTTATTCATTTTTATTGAGGTACAAATTGACACATAAAATTGTAAGATAGGTAAGCATGTCATGTGATGATCTGGTACATGCACATTGTCGAAGGATTCTTTAGAGTCTCTTATAGCTCTCATAAAGTTCTGTAGTTTTCTTCACCTAGGTTTCTTTCATTTCCTGTTAAGTTTATTTCTTTCCTTAATTCATTTTGCCTATATCAAATGGGATATTTCTCCCAAATCTTGTATAGAAAAGCTATTGATGGGGATATTTTGCTTTAACCTAATCACAGTTCTTTCTAATGGTTTTCCAAGTGTTTCACAGTATAATGCTATTTTGGCTTCTCATTTACTCTTTTCCAATATTTCATACTTAAGTTTCTTCTTCCTCCTTCTATTCCTCTTCACCTTCCTCCTCCTTTTTTTTTTAATTTTTTTATTTTTTTCATTTATTTTTATTAGTTGGAGGCTAATTACTTTACATCATTGCAGTGGTTTTTGTCATACATTGAGATGAATTAGCCATGGATTTACATGTATTCCCCATCCCGGTCCCCCCTCCCACCTCCCTCTCCACTCGATCCCTCTGGGTCTTCCCAGTGCACCAGGCCCGAGCACTTGTCTCATGCACCCAACCTGGGCTGGTGATCTGTTTCACCCTAGATAATATACGTGTTTCGATGCTGTTCTCTTGAAACATCCCACCCTCGCCTTCTCCCAGAGTCCACAAGTCTGTTCTATACATCGGAGTCTCTTTTTCTGTTTTGCATATAGGGTTATCGTTAGCATCTTTCTAAATTCCATATATATGTGTTAGTATACTGTAATGGTCTTTATCTTTCTGGCTTACTTCGCTCTGTATAATGGGCTCCAGTTTCATCCATCTCATTAGAACTGATTCAAATGAATTCTTTTTAATGGCTGAGTAATATTCCATGGTGTATATGTACCACAGCTTCCTCATCCATTCATCTGCTGATGGGCATCTAGGTTGCTTCCATGTCCTGGCTATTATAATAGACAGACTTCTTTATCCATATTTCTGTCTAGACCTAAGCTGGAAGGAGAGAACACAGACCCCACCTCTACTTGGAGGAGTGAGCATAAGCCATATTGAAAGAAGAATTTGTAGGGTGAGCTAATTGTATGCTTAGACCACCCAAGATGGCTGCTCTCTTGCTGGCTGTACATCCCCTTCACAATCAGACCCTGCTTCAGCTACATCCTACTCACCTGACTGATCTTGCCTCTTACTCACAGAACCTAATCAGTAAATGCCTACAGAGTTGCCCCCACCCCAGCTACTGACTGTTGTAATCTTAAAATCAGAACAACTTCACAAAGATGGTTTATCAAAGGGGCAGTGAGGGTTGTGCTCTTCTGCTGGTTTCCCTGGTAACCAATGAGCCATCCTGATATCAGTTTCCTCTGTAACAATTCCCTCTTCTGACAGGGAAGACTCTTGCCACGGCCAGCCTGCCATCTGCCACCCATAAGTGTGTCTCTGTAGAACCCTCTTGCTTCTGGTGTTAAGTAAGATCCCCTATCCAATAAACTATTGATGTCTCTCTTGCTAACTCTGTGTTCCTTGCATCTTGAGGCTGGGCAATTAAAAGGATTGCAGCCCTGCCGGGTGCAGGTCAACCTTATCTTTAAGTGTGGCCAATTTTGAAAACTACAATCTCCCACTTGTTACAAAACAAAGTTAAGGGTGGGGATTTTACTTTAGGAAAAACGTGGGTTTGCCTTGGGGTAAGTAAAGTCCTCTTGTCACTCCTGTCTTCCGTGTAAAATAAATATAGAGAATTCCTTGGTCTGCTAGTGGTTAGGACTCTGTACTTTCACTACGAAAGGTCTGGCTGGCTTCAATTCCTGGTTGGTGAACAAAGATCCCACAAGAGGCACAGACCACGCTACCCCCGCCCCCAAAAAAAAACCCAGACAACAACAACGACAACAACAAAACAAAAGAAATAGAAAAAAATTTAATAAAGGAAAATAATGTTACAAAGAAACAAAGTTTTGCTTTCTCCAGCTGATGATCCAAAATTAAGCAATGGGTTCCCCAAATGTCAGAATAATCATAGTTAACACTATTATCATTCTCTGGAAATATGTATAAGAAAGCAACATCAGGTAATGATTCCAGTCCAGACCCCAGCTCTACCACTTTCCACGCAATCATGGACAAAAAAAAATTAACTTCTTTGTATCTCAGCTATCTCATTAGTTAAAGAGTAGATAATAACATGTAATTTATGGAGTTTTGATGAAGGTTAATATAATCTTGCTAATTGTTCAAAGTTAGACATTAATGTTTTCTATTCTTCTTCGTCCTCCTACTAAGAAGCAATTGAAAAATTATAAGTGAAAAGCTAAACTGGATTGCTTAAAAATATTTTCATAAATTTCCTTTGTGCTTTGCGTGTATAAGTGAGAAAAACAGGCCCAGGTTACACATAAACCACTGACCTCAGAAAGTCAGAGTGGCGAGGAAGCTACCCAGCGCCACGTCACGAGGCTTCTGCACTAGCTCCTCCAGCCGAGGGCCGCTCGGCGGCTCCGGCGCCAGGCCCCGCCCGACCCCTCCTCCGCTGCCGGCCAATGGCCGCCGGCCGCCGGCCGTCGCGGTCCGAGGCTGCTATTGGAAGAGGCGGCGCGGTGGGAGGAGCTGAGTCGGGGCCGCGCCGCGCTGCGCCGCGCCGGCCCGCAGTTCTAAGCCGGAGAGAGAGGTCGGAGATCATGCCTGTGTTAGCGGCCCTTCTGCGGCGCGGCGCGCGCGGGCGCGGCCCCCTGCTTCAGAGGCGAGTGCAGGTGAGAGGGGCTGGGACTCGCCTCGCGAGGCTTTGGCCGCGGCCGCGCGGCCGGAAGGAGCCCTCGGTGCGGACCTCGGGAAGACCCTCGCCCCGCGCCCAGACGCGCAGGCTCCTACGCAGCGTTTCCGTTCGCCGCGGCCCTGTCGGCGTGTAGCCGCCGCTTTCTTGTGTCAAAGCGGGCAGGTGTTTTGACGCGCAGAAAGGCCTGGGGCGTGGTTTCGACCTTGCCCCACTGGTAGGGAAGTCCTGTAAAACTGCTTCCCAACTTTTCTTCGAAGCATATTTATGAACGTTACTGTCAGGAGGTTTAATTTCATGCCATAGGTAATCATTTTGGGCTTACAGAGTGATGATAAATCGATGTGCCAACTCGGAGCAACTTCAGACCTATTAGGGAAAATAAATGGCTCCTCGGTTTCTTGATGCGTGGCGCTTACGTACCAAGGGCGTCCAGAGCCTTGTTTGTGTTGTGAACACAGGAGCGACAGCCTTGGAAGAATCTACTGTTTTCCATCCATCAGGGCAAGCTAGCTTGCACCACAGGTTTAAGGTCTGGCAAAACCCAGGGAGTAGGTCGAGAGTTTCAGGGTGTGGTGGTGAGGCGTGACTTTTCTAGTTTGAGTGGAGCAATAAAGTTTGAAATCTAGTTCTATTGTTAAGAGTTTAAATTTGACTTAAGGCATTGAGGACCGTTTATATTTTTGTTATTGTCATAATTAGAGGTCTAGGACGATTGAAGGGGGGAATCTCTTGCATTATGCATTATGCAAGAGATTGTGAAGGAATAAATGTAGAACTTGTCAAATGCAGAGTGAGGATGGAGAACCAAGGGAAAAGGAAAAGTCTAAAATTAATCCTGGGGGACTGAGATAATAAAAGTCAGGAGGAGTGGGTTTCCAGGAATCGTGAGTTCTTAGTGTATTTGTTAGTTTGTGGTAAATCACAAAAATGTGACTAGGACATGCTGAATTTCAAACCAGAGTTTATTAGGTGAATTAGGTGAAAACTAGGTACTTAGGTTTGTAAAAAACAAAACATAAACGAAGTGCAGAACCCTCTTAATTTAGTTTAATTAACAGCTCAAAATCAAACACAAATGTTGCTGATGAGAAAAGTGAAGCTGTAGATTATATAGCGTGTAATTTGTGGTGTTCGTTTGTTACTTAAATTAAGTGGTCATTTACTGAAGCATGGAGATACAGTTTAACAGGATTTTCAGTGTTCAGTGCCCCTTTGTGGAATGAAACGTAATCTCTAACCTATTAAACTGGCTTTTTCTTGTTTGCCTTCAAAAACACACAGGTCTCCCTTAATCGGCAACAAACTTATGGCCTTAATCAGAGCTTTTTGCTTTTCAACTGGAATTGCTTTTTTTTATGGTCAAAAGAGTAGTCCTCCTTGTCACCCTTGTTTACATCCATTTCTCTTGAAACCTCTGCAGTTAGATTTCTATACTACTCAACTGAAGGATACCAGTGCCTTTCATTTCCTGTGTTTCTTCTTCTTGACCTTTCTTTATACTGTGTTTGACAATGTTGATGGGGCTTCCCTGGTAGCTCTGTGGGACTTCCCTGGTGGTTCAGTCCATAAAGAATCTGCCTGCAGTGTAGGAGAAGTGTTCAATCCCTGGGTCAGGAACATCCCCTGGAGAAGGAAATGGCAACCCACTCAAGTACTCTTGACACTGTTGATTACTCTCTCCTTTAAACTCCTGTCTTGCTGTTTTGAAACAAGTTAATTTTCTTTCTTTCTTTCTTTCTTTTTTTTTTTTTTTGCAACTTTAAGCTTTTTATTTTGTATTGAGGTATAGCCAGTTAACAATGTTGTGGTAGTTTCAGGTGAAGAGCAAAGGAACTCAACATTGCATATAGGTGTATCCATTCTCCCCCAAAGCCCACTCTATCCAGGCTGGCATTTAACGTTGAGCAGAGTTCCATGTACTACACAATAGGTCTTTGTTGGTTATCCATTTTATATACAGCAGTATGTACATGACCTTCCCAAAGTCCCTATCTATCTTCTCCTGTCCTCCCCTCCACAACTGTAAGTTCGTTTGCTAAGTCTCTTGAGTCTCTTTCTGTTTTGTAAGTAAGTTCGTTTGTGTAGTTTATTTTTAGATTCCATATATAAGGAATGTCATATGATATTTCTCCTTCTCTGACTTACTTTTAGGTCTATCCATGTGGCTGCAAATGGCATTATTTCATTCTTTTTAATGGCTGAGTAATATTCCATTGTACCACAAAGTACAGTGATATATGTACCACATATATGTATATGTGTACCACATCATCTTTATTCATTCCTTTGTTGACAGACATTTAGGTTTCTTCCATGTCTTGACTGTTGTAAACAGTGCTTCAATGAACATTGGGGTACGTGTATCCTTTTGGATCATGTTTTTCTCCAGATATATGCCCAGGAGTGGAATCAGAGGGGCATATGGTAGTTCTATCTTTAGTTGTTTAAGGAACCTCCATACTGTTCTCCATAGTGGCTGTACCAATTTACATTCCCACCAACAGTGGAAGGAGGGGTCCCTTCTCTCCATAACCTTTCCAACATTTGTTCTTTGTGGATTTTTTGATGATAGCCATTTTGACTGCTGTGAAGTGGTATCTCATTGTAGTACTGATTTGCATTTCTCTAATAACTAGCAACGTTAAACATCTTTTCATGTGCCTATTGGCCATCTTTATATCCTCTTTGGAGAAATGTTTATTCAGGTTGTCTCCCATTTTTTGAGTGGGTTGTTTTTTTGGAGCTTTTAAGCGTCCTAGGCTGTTTGTAAATTGTGAAGACTTAATCCCTTAAAGGTCACATCACTTGCTCATGTTTTCTCCCAGTCTGTGAGTTGTATGTTCATTTTGTTTATTGTTTCCTTTGCTGTGCAAAAGCTTTTGAGTTTAAGTTGGTCCCATTTGTTTATTTTTGTTTTTTTCCCCCATTTTATGGGAGATGGATCAAAAAAGATATTGCGGTGAGTTATGTCAGACAGTGTTCTGCCTATGTTTTCCTCTAGGGATTTTATAGTGTCCAGTCTCACATTTAGCTCTTCAGTCCATTTTGAGCTTATTTTTGTGTATGGAGTTAAGGAATGATCTAATTTCATTTTTTAACATGTGACTGTCCAGTTTTCCCAGCACCATTTGTTGAAGAGATTCTTTCCAACATTGTGTAGAATTGTCTTTGTCATAGAGAAATTGACCACAGGTGCATGGGCTTATTTCTGGGTTTTCTATCCTGTTCCATTGATCTATATTTCTATTTTTATGCCAGTGCCATACTGTTCTGATGACTGTAGCTTTGTAGTATAGTCTGATGTTATGAGTCTGAGTCCTCCAGCTCCCTTTTTCTTTTTCAACATTGCTTTGACTATTTGGGGTCTTTTATGTCTCCATACAGATTTTGAGATTTTTTTTTCTAGTTCTGTGAAAAATGTCATTGGTACTTTGTTAGGGACCTCATTGAATCTGTAGATTGCCTTGGGCATTAGTCATTTTGACAGTATTGATTCTTCCTATCCACTAAAAGGATATATATTTCCATCTGTGTATATCTTCTTTAATTTCTTTCATCAGCATCATATAGTTTTCAGAGTACAGGTCTTTTGTCTCCTTAGGTAGCTTTATTCCTAGGTATTTTATTCTTTTTGATGCAATGGTAAATGGAATTGCTTCTTGAATTTTTCTTTCTGATCTTTTGTTGTTAGTATATAGAAATGCAACAGTTTTCTTTGTATTAATTTTGTAACTGCAATTACCAAATTCATTGATGAGCTCTAGTAGTTTTCTGGTAGCATCTGTAGGATCTTCTATGTATAGTATTCTGTCATCTGCAAGCAGTGACAGTTTTAACTTCTTTTCCAATTTGGATTCCCTTTACCTCTTTTTCTTCGCTGATTGCTCTAGCTAGGATGTCCAAAATTATGTTGAATAAAAGTGGTCCTTTTCATGTTTGTCTTGTTCTTGGTCTTAGAGGGAATGTGTTCAGCTTTTCACCACTGAGTATGGTGCTAGCTGTAGATTTGTCATATCTGGCCTTTATTATGTTGAGGTATATAGCCTCTATGCCCACTTTCTGGAGAGTTTTTTATCATAAATGGGTAGTGAATTTTATCAAAAACTTTTTCTGCATCTACTGAATGATCATATGGTTTTCATTCTTCAATTTGTTGATGTGGTGTATCACATTTATTGATTTGGGGGTGTTGAAAAATCCTTACATCTCTTGGATGTAAGATCATCAGAGATGATGACCTCTGATAATGGTGTATGACCTTTTTAATGTATTTTTGGATATGAATTGCTAGTATTTTGTTGAGGATTTTGGACTCTATGTTCATCAGTGGTCCTGGCCTGTAAATTACTTTTTCGTGGTATCTTTGTCTGGTTTTGGTTTTGGGGTGATGGTAGCCTAATAAAAAGAGTTTGGAAGTTTTCCTTCCCCTGCAACTTTTTGGAACAGTTTCAGAAGGATAGGTGTTAACTCTTCTCTAAATATTTTATAAAAATTCACCTGTGAAGCTGTAGGGTCCTGGACTTTTGTTTGTTGGGAGGTTTTTAATCATCGTTTCAATTTTAGTGCTTCTGATTGGCCTGTTTATATTTTCTATTTCTTCCTGGTTCATCCTAGGGAGACTGTGCCTTTCTAGGAATTTGTCCATTTCTTCCAGGTGTCCGTTTTATTGGCATACAGTGTTCACAGTGGTATTTATGTGGAGTCAGCTGTAGCTTCATTTTCATTTTTAATTTACTGATTTGAGTCCTCTCCCTTTTTTTGTTGATGAGTCTGACTAATGGTTTATAAATTTTCTTTTTCTTTTCAAAGAACCAGCTTTTAGTTTTATTGATCTCTGAGTTTTTTTCTTTGTCTCTATTTTATTTAATTCTGCTCTGATCTTTATGATTTCCTTCTTTCTACTAACTTTATGCTTTGTTTGTTCTTCTTTCTCTAGTTGTTCTAGGTATAAGGTTAGATTGTTTAGTTGAGATTTAT